ACTTTTTTCACAGGATAGCATTTGTTGCTTTCTCATTATACACGTGTCGAATAAGTAAAACTATCTTTTTCTAACGATTATATTGAATAAAAATGAATTAAAACAAAGATTTGTTGGAAAGACTGCTGAAAAATATAACTTTTTAGGGGACATAATAGAAGACCCCCCTTGTAACTTATGAGCGATAAGACAGAATAGAAGACCCTGGGTCTTCTAATGTGTCGGGGGCTTTAATCGTTCAATTAATGTACGGTCATTCGTAAAAGCATCAATCAGTTTCGGATATTTTTGTTTTTCGTATTTTACATTTTGACGTTCTCTTTCCAAAACATAAATTGAATGTACAAAGGTTATCTCATAGAGTGGTTTTCATACATATCAAATTCGAAATCTGATCTCTAATTAAAGATCAGAAAAAAACGAACTACATATAGGAACGAAACTTGAGAGAAATAAAGTGCTGTATATTTAGTTGATGATCTAATTCACATGAAAATGAGCGACCAAAACGTTAGACGTAGGTATAGTATATTTAACATTTCTCGATTGCTATTCTGTCTTGAAGGTTTTTCAAAAATTACAAATCAGAGAATTCAGTGGTAAAACTCTATCGTTTATTTATGTTTTACGCTTACGAGAAAACCGTCCGAAGTGATTCAGAGCTATTGAACTGATATTTTGCTCATAAGTAGGACCCGATGAGACTAGAAAAAAACCTAAAAGGATAGAGATCCATAGATCTTTCCTCTCGAGTTAGGGCTATTTTACTAGGTTTACCACCAATGATAAGAAATTTAACGAAAAAGTCAAATTACAGAATTTGGATCTGAAATTTTGCGCACATGAAGTTCTTATGGTCATTATAGTAACCGAAAAGTCTTAGACAAAACAAATGCTTCTTTCTCGAACTATTTAGTTTCCACGAAGCGTCGATCTTTTTGACATGTCTGTAGTATGAGAGAATTTTGTTGTCGACTCAATATTTTGAAAAAGAAGCGTTCATTTTTCTGTGAGACTTTTAGGCTAGTATAAGGATTGTAAGATCTGTATGTAGGCAAAATTTGAGATCCAAGTTCTGTAATTTGACTTTTTCATTGAATTCCTTGCCATTGGTGGTAAACCCAGCAAAATAGCCCTAACTGGAGAGGAAAAACCTATGGACCCCTATCATTTTAGGCTTTTTCTAGTCTCATCGGGTCCTACTTATGAGCAAAATATCAACTCAATAGCTCTGAATCACTTCGGAAGGTTCCCTCGTTAGTCTAAAACACTCAACACTGCGTTTAGAGATACCTGAGTTGCTCTTATAAGAGAAGTGCAACAGCTTGCTTATGTGACTTCTTCTGATAACTAAAGACTATAACATATAAAACGAAATATAGCCACGAAAGTTGTTCATTCTTAATGGTTTTCCATGCAAGTAAACAATTATTCAATCAACAAAATATGAAGCTATGATTTCTACAGCAGTGTAGCAATAGGACAATTAGTTTTTAAAAAAATTGTTGATATTTTCATGGAAGAAACTGAAATTGTTTGACACGCTCAGAAATGCAACAGAAAATTGTACCAGTGAACTTCAGTTAACCCTTTAATATAAGATCCTTTCGAAGTACGCTCCTCTACTGTTTAGCGGCTCAAAATTTTGTGAAACACGATTGAGAAACGAATATTGAAGTTTATAGCGAGAAAAGTGAAATTCACCTTACCCATGAACCATGGCAAATATGACGACATGCCATTTCGATTTTTCAGACCATTCAATTTTGGTGTTTTGAACCATCTGGTTTAAATTTTTTGAATTTTAAATCGTGGAATTCGAAAACTCTTTTTCCTCATAGTACAATATGTTCGCCACTATTACGAACAGTCGCAAAAACTTAGAAACAATTTCCTCTTGGTCCTCTGATGAATCGAGAAGAATATAACAAGAATCTTCATGATCATATGGAACGGCTCCAATATGTTTCATATTATAATCCCGTAGAGAAGTGTGTTGAAAGTTTGTTCTCTGAATTTTTTGTATATATCATTTCATTATTCTCTAAAATAGACCACACTCTAAAAAGGTCCGTGTATGACAGAACCTAAAAGGTTTCGAATCTGAGTGCTTAATTTTTTTAGGTATAGTGGGATTGTATGGGTCTGATACCTCTCATGGGTGTGTGGATGTATGTATATAGAAGATCATATTAAGACCCATATCCACACCCTATCCGCACTCTACTCATATCGACATTTGCGCTCGTTAGCAACTGCCATAATCACTGTTTCGGTTCTAGGCAAGGCCTCCTTTTTTTTCTTTTCTTCTTTATTTCACATAACCAGCCGTAAGTATCCTTTCCAACTTTACCACGTGTTCTTATCTTATCGATACATATAGCGACTATCTTCTCCGGTAGTATCTTGTTGTTCTTGAAGACGAATGACAGCGAACATAGGTGCAACTCTCGTTATGCGGGATGACTGCAATGAAAATTGTCGCCCTCAATCGGCGGCAGTTGATTCAACAATTTCATATATTCGTGAAGTAATCAACGTGCTCAATATTTAACTTTCTTCTTCTCCTTTCATCATTGCTGATTTTGGTTCAGCTCATGAACGCAATTCAATTCAATACATGTTATGAAAGTGATCATTCAATTTCTGAAAGAGGCCAATAAAGTAGAGGATACAAAACAATTTCTTGTTGTTCACAATGATTTACCCACGAATGACTGGACAACACTTTTTGATCTTCTTAATAAAGACAGCTCCTATCATGGTGTGACTAATGGACGATCTTTCTATGAACCATGTCTACCCGCAAATTCTCTCTCGATCGGTTATTCGTCCACTTCACTTCATTGGCTTCCTCGTAAGCCATGCAACATATCAAATCATTGTGCATCTCTGTTTGCACAAGGTAACGAACTCAAAACATTTCAAGAACAAGCTTATCTCGATTGCACTCATTTTCTCGAACATCGGTCACGTGAATTAATTCCTGGTGGTGTACTCATTCTCCTTATTCCCTGTGTTGATGATCAAGGATCGAACGGTTTCGATATTCTCAGAGTACTTCTCTATAAATGTGCTCAATCTCTACTTACTCCGCAAGAATTACTTGATTACACATTTTCGATACATGCTCGTTCATATTCAGAATGTATCGATGATCAACTCTTTGCTCATTATTTGTTGGAATTGATCAAGTCTGATTTTGGTTCAGTTAAAATGCCTTTTATCAAGCAATGGCAAAACGAACCAATGACACTAGATGAATTTGCTCGATCGATAACATTATACACTCGTAGTTGGTCTGAATTGACACTCTTAAACAGGCATTATTGGTAAATAATCGGTCAAAACAAGATATCGAACAAATACTAATTCAATTTTGGTCTTTATTCAATGACGATGCGAGAAAAGAAATTGATCAATTATTAGATATTTGCATGAATTTTACTTACTTAATTTTGAAAAAAATGAAGAAAAGTCTTGAGTAACAAACGAAAATATATAAACAAAATTTTCTCATTGATTTCCTATTGTATGTAAGAACATCGATGAGAACCTAGCAGGAACACGACGCATTGCCAGGAACTACGATATTGTTTGATTCGCAACAATTTCAACCTGGAATACGTCAATATGAAGAAAATATTGTTCAACATGGCTTTCGTTAGCTAGAAAAATCTTGCATTTATATAAGAGTGTAGAATTTTTGTTTGTTTCATCAAATTTAACGCACTTGTACTAAATATGTTAGGTTTTCTAGTTCAGCAAAAATAAATAAATATCTATTATTCAGTTGTCAATGATTTCAAAGTTTTCGTATATCCTTCAGCCGCGTAATTTAATGATGAAAATAAATGTCAATTTTTAAGATCACATATTCAATATGCTTTCATTGATTTCATCATATATCTGAACTCAATTGTTGCATTAACATTTATCAGTTAACTCTCAAAAAGAAAAGAAAGGAGTGTGAATATCAGTATTGTTGTAGTTCTAAATCTATAAGCCACTCATATCCACACCCAAGATCACTAGGAAGACCGGACGCACTTGATTCGAGGGTGTGGGTGCCAGTGTACTTCTATCTTACACCCACACCAGACTTCGACTCAAATGTAAAATTTTTCTGCCTTAAAAAATATTCACTGACATACAAAAAAATGAAGAAATGAACAATCGATTAATGCTAAAAGTATCAATTTAATGATTAATTATAACGTCGATGACAAAATTCAATAAAATAGATCAGAAACATGGACCTGATCCAGCAAAAGCATTTTCTTTTTTGTGAAATTTCGTCTTCTTATTTTTCTTTTACTAATGTAAATATAGATAAGCAATGAAACTAAGTAACTCTTGTGTTCGATAAAGAAATTGAGGTAAAAGTTCATTGACGATTTCATTTTGGTCAATTTGCTGGGTGAAATGGAAACTTTTTGATGAATTAAGTAAATGCAAGATTTGGTATGAATGCTTTTGCATCAAGTTTTTAGAATTTTGGGACGCGTGTGAGTCGTTGCTGATGAACAATTCATACGCATACAGATATACACGTTCCTTTATACTCTCATCGTGTAAGACTAGTAAACATCACAAGCACTGAATAATAATTATGTGAAACAAGAGCGTCCTCTTCGATTATGGCTCTGATAATGTTAATTATTATTATGGTTCAGAGGAGTGACCTTTCGATAAATTTTCTTTTGAAAATTTATAAAATATGAGTAAAATTTAGCATTCATTTCTGTGGCAAATTAAATACAATTACTTAGTCAGAATCGCACCTGGTATCGATAACGTGCGACTGATAATAGCAAACAAGGAGGGCATGGCTCTTTGTTATTTTCTCTTTTCTACTTTTTGTATGCGCAAGGTTATGAAGAGCTTTGCTTTCTTTTATTTTTCTTTTCTTCGCGTGCTCGTGGTCTTTAAAACTGAATACATAAAAAAAAAAGAAAAAACCAAACATTTTCTTCAATTTCAACAATGATAAATGTAATAGGAGAGGCAACCACAATAGCTACTTTATCGTTGATGGTGCAAGTGTGTGCGCTATCACTCGCTTAATGTCAATATCGTTATCGGCTGGGTTCTATATACTATTTAGTGATGTTCGCTGCCCCTCTACTTCAACAGTGCATTTCATTGGTATCTCTTTGAGTGTTATGCCTTTAGTTTACTAATGAGAGTCCATATTTATATTGAGATCACATCGATAAACGATTTAGATTTTTATACTATGAATATTAAAATATGAATCTACTGTATTTCTAGTAACACACGATTGATACTGTTGCCAGAGAATTAATGTCGTCTCGTCGCTTTCTGATTGGTCGCGATGTTCTGCTAGATGGACGTACCGATAAAGTCAATGAAATTCTTGAATTATTTAAGATAAATCAATGTATTTCTCCTTCTCTAGGGTACTGCTTTTTCCATCGAAGAACGGCAAGCATTGCACATTCATGGTCTTTTGCCGCCTTCAATAGCTACTCCTGAATTACAAGTTGAACGATTCATGGAAAATCTACGCCACATGCCCGATGATTTGTCTCGATATATGGCCTTACTTGCCCTACAAGATCGCAACGAAACATTGTTCTATCGTACAGTGATGCAACATACTGAAGAGACCATGCCATTGGTCTACACACCAACTGTCGGATTGGCTTGTCAGAAATATGGTTTAATCTTTGCTAAACCAAAGTAAGTCGCTAAACAATATAACTACATGACTACGTAAGTGATGCTTCGTTTTATTTAGAGGTCTATTTATTTCGATTCATGACAAAGGTCACATTTACGATGTTCTTCAAAATTGGCCTGAAAATGATGTTCGAGTAAGTTACCCACTATTTGTTTCAAGAACCAAGCAAGTAATGTTGTTCATATAGGCGATTGTAGTGACCGATGGCGAACGTATATTAGGTTTAGGTGATTTGGGTTGCAATGGCATGGGTATTCCTGTAGGAAAATTAAGTTTGTATACAGCATTGGCTGGCGTGGCACCTGAATACTGTTTGCCGTTGCTACTTGATGTGGGAACAAATAATGAAGTAAGAGAATATTGTCATTCATTTTAATCATATATAAATCCTAAGCAAATGTTTTAGATGCTTCTCAAAGACAAATATTATTTGGGTTTGCGACAAAAACGTGTCACTGGCAAAGAATACGATGAGTTTATCGAAGAATTCATGCAAGCCGTTACTAAACGGTAATATTTGAGTATACTTGCTTTTTATCATTTGCTGGGTGCGTTTTTTTTATAATAGATTTGGACATCAATGTCTGATTCAGTTCGAAGATTTTGCGGTAGACATCATTCGACTGCCAGGCTTTTGCTTACTAATATACGTATTTATCTTATATGAATAGAATCACAACGCATTTCGCCTTTTGGAAAAATATCGAGATCAACATTGCACATTCAATGATGATATTCAAGGTACAGCTAGTGTCGCTGTCGCTGGCATTCTCAGTTCAATTCGAATTACTCAAAAAAAATTGTCGGACAATACATTTCTCTTCTATGGGGCCGGCGAGGTAAGTGACTTTTTATTCACATTTTGTTATCTATGTTTGTTTCTTTATACCAGGCGTCTATCGGCATTGCAGACTTGCTCGTGGTCGCCATGGTACGCGAAGGATTGAGCGTTGAAGATGCTCGAAAGACAATCTTCTTAGTTGATTCAAAGGGACTTGTAGTCAAGGTAGATTTTCTGCTGTATACTTTCTCGACCACATCAGATGTTCATTATTAGAATCGTCCGACGGGAGGTTTGAACGAAGAAAAGAAGCGCTATACACACGATCGAGAACCAATCACTAGACTAGCAGACATTGTTGATGCTATCAAGCCAACATTTCTTATCGGTATTCGATCAGTTTAATCAACTTACCATAAGATTGTGTTTATTTTCTTCTAGGTGCTGCTGGCCAAGGGCCTACGTTTACACGTGACATTCTTGAAAAGATGGCATCATTTAACAAACGTCCCGTTATCTTTGCACTTTCGAATCCTACATCGAAAGCCGAATGTACAGCTCAAGAAGCTTATGAAACTACCAATGGCCAATGTGTATTCGCTTCAGGTTCACCTTTTCCAAATGTTGAATACCAAGGAAAAACTTACGTACCTGGTCAGGGTAACAATTCATATATATTTCCTGGTGTAGGCTTGGCTGTTGTGACCTGTCGTATCCGGCACATACCCCAAGAACTATTTTATATTGCTGCAAAAACTCTTTCAAATTTAGTAACAGAAGAAGATTTAGCTGTTGGCCTTGTCTATCCACCTATTGACAGAATTCGCCATGTATCACGATGCATCGCTGTCAACCTTGCTGAATATGCTTATGCTCATAATCTAGCCGCTTTCTATCCCAAGCCCAACAACTTGGATGAATTCATTAAATCAAACCAATACACGGCCGAATATCAAGATATATTGCCAACAAAATGGGAATGGCCAAAACTGAATTAATTTAGATATGAAGACATCTTTTGCATGAACGTTGACATGTTCTCTATGGATAGTTGACTAACTTATTTATTGTTCTTTTTCTTGTGAACTTTGATTGATTGAATAAATAAACTACGGAGTTTTTCGACAAAATCCAATGCTTTTTCAATTCAAGTTTCTCCTAACTATCGAAAGATCATTGACATGTATTACCTTGAATTTCATAGTTTATGAGAGTTTATTAATATGCATCAATGGATAACGTAGCACGATTTTAATAAGTATATCGAATAAGACGATATAATTGATTATATTATTATTGTCACTATTGATGTGTATATTAAATATAGAATGCGAGCACAGTATGAAGTAGAGACCAAAACGAGCCAACTTCTTTTTTCTTTTACAAATAATCTTTTCGTTCGTATTCAAAGATCATTTATTATTTAAAACAAAAAATATAATAAAAAGTAGAGTTTCAACAATAAAATTATTCATGCAAGTTCAATCTTAATGAACTCAAGAAAAAAAAATCATATAATTAACAATTGAAAGATAGGAATTCCAAAACAGTGAGCGTATTAATTAATATTGGATGAACGAAAACTGATCGCTCGAAAAAATCAGTCGAAAAAATTTAGAATAGTTGGGTAACAGTATGTTTCAGGAAATAAACTTGAAAAAAAATTATTTTAATAGATATGCATAAGAAATAATAGGCCGAAATTACTCAGTATTGTCAAGGTTATATTACGAATATGAATTATTTTTGTAAAATACGTATATTGTTAAAACTAAAACTTCTTTTTTTTTTTAAATTAAACTGATTATATCAAGAGATTGCGACGATATTGTAAATAAATAGTTATTGAAGTAGTGTTGAACAATTCAAACAATATTTAAATTACAATGCACATCTGCATCATTTGATTATAACTTCTAGACTGCTATTTTATTTTTGTATTTATGTAATTCATCTGAGTCATGTAAGATTGATGAGTGTATCGGTTTTTTATAGCAAGTAATTTTTGTTTCGTTTCTTCTTTTTATTGTGCTGCACTCAACTATTCATCAATGATTATCCAATTAGGAAAATCAAAATTTTCATTCAGCAAAAGACTGAAACATATTGATCAGATTTTATCTTGCTTTTTTTAATGAGGCCATAGATGATCTTTGTTTTTTCTTGCATCTATAATCAAACAGTGATTTCAAATGCTTGTGTTTTTCATCATTTCTTCTCGTTTTATTTTGCATGCATTTATGATCTAGAAAAAAAAATACTAAATAAAAACATATCTATTAGATTCGATTTCGGTCACTTTATATCTCATTTCTTCAATACTAGTCAATGACATATTGTAGTGGTACAATATTGGTATATGCCATGAAAATTGACGGATTCTAACTCTTTAGAAGTGCTAGATTTTCTCACTTCAGTACTTTCATGGTTGCAATAGCACTCTAAATTACTATAAACATCTCAGCATCATTCGAAACACTACATGAGGACAGTTTTTTTTATCACTCTGTCATATAAAATACCATGTTGCATAGTTCTGCTTCTTTATGAACTTTAGTTTTTAATGCTTCTCGAATTAATTAAACTGAGATTGATAAAAAATTTTATACAAGCAATATGAAAAACGAAATCTATAATAAATAGAATTATATTTTTATCTTGACTATGACGTGTTTATCGATTAATGTAAACGGACTGCTTCATGCTACCAAATTAACATGAATCTTTATACGACAGATCCAATGATCATAAAAACTCGACATCTTGTAGTCGATTTTAATGGTGTATTTATTTAGGATCAAATTCTTTGTGTATAAACACCCTTCCGTTAGCAACATCGAAATAACACTCTATCACTCACTGAAAATTTCACATTTACAATCAAGATTCATCTTTTCTTTATCTTGATTGTTTTGAGATCGATTCAATTGAGATTTCTACATATTATCACATTAAAAATGATTCCCAGACAACTTGAAGCTTCCAAAATCAATTATAAGCAATAGTAACTGCAAGTTTTGCAGCGATTTAGACAAAAAACTCTCTCCATATAATAGTGAAGGATACGTGCAAAAATTCATTTACAAATATTGCATGGCTTATGGAACTAATAAGGATATAGTTATCAATCAAACATGGAATAATGGCGTGCATGTTTGTTTCTAAGAAAATGGTATGTGGGTGTGGGTATTCTTTTCTTCCACAATCACACCTACTCCAAACAACAACATGATTGTTTAAAGTTCAAAATTTCATAATATCATGCTCCTAAAAACCAAAACACCATGGCAAAATATTTGTTACAGTCTGGGGTGGGAGGAGTCGTGGCTGGTTTATTTTTTTTGCTATATATTTCAACAGTAATTTCCAATAGTGTTTCGCAAAAATAAAAAATTGTCAAAGAGAATATTTTCATTGTCCCATCTCATATTGCGTCGCATACGTTGGTTTAGGTTACAATGCCATGATTATATGTGAAGAAGCGAGCAGTTGAAATCATCAACGATAGTAAGCAAGCAATCTGTGTCCATTTGCTTGAAAGAGTGTAAACATAGTCACTGCCACTGGATGGACTCTTTTCTCTTTTAAACATTTGAACTCGAAAATTATTCGAATCACTTACATACAACTCTTTCTCGTTGTTGAATGCCACATAAATGGGATTATTAAGTTGGCTCGAAGTATTACCCTGACCATGCCCACCTGCAATGATAATACCATTTGTTGCATTTGCAGGCACACTCACAATGCGGTGATTATGCTCATCCGCTACATAGATTGTTCCATTTTTATCTCNGCCTATCTGCAGGCAAAAATTCAGCTCGAAATATCATCATTCGATTCTTTGATACATACAGTACTATAGGCTAAAATTTCAGTAAAATGCCTATAACTTTGTAGAGAAGGCCTATGGGCACTTGTCCTTTTGGGGTTTTTCATATCTCATTAGGGTCTGTCTTATGTATAGAGTCCGAACTCAAAAGCGGTTAATCACTTCGGACGGTTCCCTCGTCAGATCTTTCTTTAATTAAGTTATTTAAATTTGCAAAATTTTCAATGAAAGAAAAATATTTTATTGATAAATTACTAAATGTCATTAGTTTCGAAAGAAATTCAAGTAAATTTTTCGATTTGAAGGTAAATCAGAATGTTGTACTTGATAAAATGATGGAATAGATTCATGAAGCATAATGCCATCTTTTCGATGATTACTTTGAAAAATACAACTCTGCAGTTGACTTGTCGTGTCATGACCAAAATTGGAACAAATCAAAGTTTATGCTTTTTTTTTTCAATGTACTTTTTTTAAGAGTATGATATGTTGTATAAATGGAAAGAGTGTCAAATAAGGTTAAGGCCTGTCACCATTCATTTTAGGAAAATTGTACAGCACAAGTCTCGGTAATTATGGAAACATATTCTATTCATTTCTATATTAAGATCATACCGCTTTAAATAAGGTTAAAAATTATATGAAAATTTTTTTCTTTTACTTTAGTTTTTAACAGAGAATCGGAAAAGAAATTTTACACATCAAGTTAAATTCATGAAAGAAATATTTGTATAAGATGACGACTGTATCGTAAAAAACAATCGAAAGAGAGTAACATTGATGACAGACTCAATCTTGTTATGTCTTTCGAATTATCAGAATGCTAACATCTCTCAGAATGAAACTATAAATATAGATATTATTCAACAATTGAAACCTTTTTTCATTCTCATATTTACACATATTTGTGTAAAAATAGGTAAAATTGATAAGTATGTTTCACAAAACCTAATATTCGTATAAAAATATTCTTCTAATAGACTTATGCATCTTTGACATTTGATATAGATCTAAATATTCTACTTGCTTCGATATGGTCTAAGTACAATACAAATAATCAAAACCAGTTCTCTCATAATTAGTTAAAACTTTTATTGATAATCTGTTTATTTCTACAAATGAAAAGTTATACTTGATTTTCTCTAATTCTACAGTTAATATCAACGGAAAATTAATTCAACGTGTCATGCATGGTTGCCTTGCTTATTCGCTTCAATGACCTAGCTATGGGAGAAGGAGCAATGGGTTAATAGTGTTTTCACTTGTCTGCAACTTTTTTCGAGAAAAAGTAAGAAAACAAACATTAAATATAGATACGAACAAAAGCTTCTATCTCTTGTCTACATGCTGGGCATGATCGAATAGAGTTTCCGCAAGAAACGCATACGACCAGATGACCACATGGAATGCATGCAAGACGTTTTTCTTCACGACGACAGAGTACGCATGCATTAGGTATTGTTGAATCGAGTGGTGGGTTTGGTTGAGGAACTTGATTTGTTGAGGATGTATTGGTTGAATGAGCTTGCTGACTAACTGTTGGCATTGGTGCTTCAGTAGTTTTCCTAGAATTCGATGAGGATGATAGGCCTACTGTTTCAATATTTGAAACGTTTGAAGAAATAGTTGCACTAGACGATATGTCAGGATTTCCTATACGAAAATCGGTCTTCAAGTAATAGCAAAGATTGATAGGATAGTATACAATACCAGGTTGATGTTGTTGTTGTTGTCGTTCACGTATTTTGCGTATTTCTAAGCTTGGAATTATTATGTTTTCCTTCTTACCATTAATATATTCAATCTGATTTTGAAGAATGAGACAAGCAACGAAAAGATCACAATCCGAGACAAAATCATTATCTAAAAACATTGGAGCGTCAAATCGATGTATTAAAAAAGGCTAGAAATTACGTTTTAATCGCAACTGATCCTCCCAACAACGTTTGATTATGCTCAATTTGATATTTTGATCGAGTAATCGTTGAGAAACCGGCAGCTCTAGACGAGCAGCTACTAACCGAGATAGTGTAGTTTCGTCAGGTATTTGTAGTGTCAAACTATTTCCATGAGGACTGTTGGCGTTCTCTGCTGTTTCTCTGTTGAGATCTAAAATGTTACCATCATTCTATTGTTGCAAACTCGAGAAAGAACCATGCTACTTTACCTTGTAGAGTTCGGTTCGATTCTTGGATTCTTTGATGGAGCTCATCGCCACATAACTGTTTAGCATAGTCACAATTAGGAAAACACCGAGCGTGTCCAATCATCGGATTATCATTGAGACTCCAGTTTTGAAGTGACCCATTGCAGTAGAAGCAAGTCACAATGTCTTTCGAGCCAGTGTAAAAGAATCCGGCACGTACAAATTCATCTATTGCAGGCATAGTTTCGCTTGACCAATTGGCAAATGAGGCATAACGCTTCGGAAGTTCACTGTAACTAGGGTGGCAGGCGACAGTCTTGACGATTTCGCTTGAACGAATTCGATCCATCATTGTAGCTTCTGTTATCGAATGATTCCCAGTAGCATTGCCGTTTACAATCAATACTGAAGATGTGCCAATACCATTGATCTTACTCAAAACGAAGGAACACTTCGGTGAGAGAGTTTTATGCGCATCGTACGGATCGTCTGCTTCTATCCACTGTTGACAGATTATTTTACAATACAAACAGATGACTCGATCGCCAACATTGCAGCAGAAAAAGCCTGCTTCAATCATTTGTATTGCTGATGGTGATCTTTGATGAGGCCAATGTGAAAATGTTCTACGACGTGCGCATCGAAGGCTATTCGTTTCTTTTAAACTCAATGGACCACTACTTATAGTGGTCTTTTCGATCTTCTGACGTTTGACTGGCTGTCCCTCCTCGGCGCCGTCGGATGTTGTTAGATTTGAAGTGGTAAAAGTTGAGAAAGACAATGACATGGCGAAAGAGCTCTTATCCGATTGTTTAACAGCAACAACGAAGGGGCACTGTGGAGCACGTTCAGCATGTATCGAAAAAGGTTGCATTGTTGCTGTCCAATGAGAAACTTCAAGGTGACAATGCTCACAATATGCTGTATCAGCAACGTTTGTGTATTGAAATCCAGCTGCATTCATCATTATATGAGAATGAATTCCTGTCTTCTTTCCAATTTGTTGACATAAACTCAATACAGCATCCAACGTTTGAATAATTCTAGTGTTTTTTGAGATGTTTCCTTTCATCGACGATTTATTCAAAACAGATTTTTGTGGATTCATTTGTATGTTACTATTGTCAGCAGCTTGCGTCTTGCTGGCAAGATTGACGTCTGAATCGTTGGTGACCATGAACATTTTGATGAATAGTGCAGCTTTGTTTAAATAGAATAAATTGGATTCAATTCATTTACAATATTCCGCAAACAAAATTGTCACAAATATCTGTCAAGCTATTGTCATAGAACCTAAGTGACAAAGATAATTATTATGTGTTGTGACAAAACGCTGTTGAATACTTGAATTGTAGTTACTACAAAATTGAAGATAAAAGTGTTTTGGTTTGTACATAACCCTACCAGATTCGGTTTGTTGATATGAAGCTAACACCAGTGAGAAAAGTAGCGGTGCAATACTGCTTCATGTGTTTTCCTTACGAATCGACCTACTACTTAGGATTGTAACAATTCCAGTTCAGAAGAATCGACTTATAGTTCGTATGTTTCAGTTAGCTAATCGACAGCCTAAGACTTTCAGATTATGCTATCTATTACTAGAGTCATGCGGGAGAAGTTCAGGTCTCACGTATCAAGAACCGGAACAGGACTGAGGTTAAACAGCAGACGATCTAGTTCCGTGATCATGATCAAATTATCCAATTTATAAAATGGAAGTTTATTCACAATACTTTATCTAAAAAACGATTTGAAACCGTACAGAATAAAAACGAATCCCTAATCTGATCAATCACGGAGAGAGCAAAACGGCGTGGAAATTTGCCTTAGAAAAATTCATTTGTAATCTATCTTGTTTCGAAAAATCAGATTTTTTCAGAGTATACATTGCCTTCTTAATCTGCTAATAAGCTTGCTGAATTTTTAGAATTAAGTCAGTCGAAGATATTGAAGCTTAACTTCAGCAAGATTGCCATCAAATTAAGAAGACAATTCATGCCTAGACTATTTGATTAAAAAACTTCGATCAAAATCTGAAGTTGAATGTCTCTGAGCAATACTTGTGTGAGAATTGAGAATTGTATCAATACACAAAAATCAGACGGACGACATAATGTACATTGATAGTCAAGAAGGACCAAAAGAAGATATATACAGTGATGAACGTAATTGATATTCTCTATCGTGTCAAAACTTGAGTACATCATTTGAAAAACGAAAAAGTATGTGATAAGATCAGTAGCTACCGAGATATATTTTTTGGGATGTATTAGAAATTTTTAATAAGTTCCTATGTATTTTGAGATAAATACCACAAAATTCTTCAACATATACATACATTGGGGGTGCGCTGAAATATTAATACAGTGAATAAAGTTTGTCGGAAAAAATGTATCCCAAAAGAATTAGTTCTGGTAGTCTCTCGCAAAGGAGACATTAACTGTGCAAATATCTCTTCATGTGAGCTTCAGCCTCAGCCGACCTGTGATATTTCGAGCCAAAAGTCTATCTTTTTGTAATACACTGACTTTGTCGGTATACTGAATGCTGCACACGAGAAATAGCAATTTGTTGATCTTCAACAAAGATATGCTTTTTCTTTTCTCTGTAAAAATAAACTATCTTTTCATAAAAGAGTGATGTAAGGTCTTGCTCTCATATTATTTTAAATTAAGATTCTCATATATAAAATAATTATCTGTACGGGACAACATGAATAAAAATTTACGAGTTAGGGCAAAAACACCTTGTCCCACATGAGTTTAGGTATCACACATAAAGAAGTCGACTTGATAAGCATTTTGACCTCATCACTATATGGCGCTTAGTTGCCTCCATCTTTTCTCAAACATCCAGAACATTAGAATATTATGTGAAATGTTTGAAATATTTTTCTCACAAATGACGTGCTTTTTGTGTCGAAAAGCATTCGTGCAGAGTGCACTTCTACTATTGAATTGACCCAACCGATGCACATTTTTAGTTGTAGATGTTTTAAATCAAAGTACATATGCACGCAACTAAGAGCCAAATGAAGGTACCATAAACCTAGTTACAACCTCCGTTCTATTACTGTAATAAGCATAATAAGTGAAATCTTTTTGGCGTTTTATTAGAGTTCGCACGGATCGCATATAATAAAGCATCGGTGAGAAACCTTTCGAACATTAGAACTCGTTGATTAGTTCTAGAGATTTAAACTGATATGGACCTGTTACAGTTCTACAGAATATACTCTCTCACTCAAACTCGTAATCTGGTAACGAATTATTGTCTATTTACAAGATAGCTGATAGTTATTCAGTGCCTGTGCTTGAAAGATTGCCTTAGGTTTGAAGTACTGATGTGGTAAAAACTAGTTTTGTCAAAGTTGATAATTTAAAAAACGGGTAATAATTACAATTGTTATCATCATAGTTGATATGTATAACTCATGAGCTTTTTTTAGCAAAAAATTTAGTTAGTTATAATTCTAGCTATTCTAATTGAAACTATACTCTGTGCTTAATTTGGTTTAATTCGTGTAGCGCAGGCAAGACCTTGTACACTGAAATAAATTTTGTTTCATACTCACTTGTAAGTCGGTGTCTTTTCAATTAACGTTTTTTGGCGAACATGGAAGTGGATAAATATTTTTACTTAATCCCTCAAGTTTTTTTTCCAACAACGAGTGATTTATTTCAGTGAATATGAGAAGAAGCCTGCTAGACAACGTCAGCTGATAAGTTGGAAAAAAAACAAACATTATGAGTCACGATATAGTTCCGAGCACGTGCTTCCGAAAGGAAGAAAAAAATATAAAGGTTTTCGTTTCTCCTCTGCATTCTATCATCATTAGAAACCGGATCAAACTTCATATTTGATAGTTCGACATAGTACAACACTATTTTTCTAGCTTTTATAAGTACAACGCGAAGTGTTTCCCTTTTTCACCAGCTATGGGTATATTGTGAAGAGAAATAGGGTAATGAACTAGGCTAATTATCTATTTTTCGTAACATTCTTGCTAGACTTTAAAAGCTACTACTGCAAAAAATATTCTCATCAAATGTATAAATTTCTCAAAGTGAGAACGAAATAACGGCTTTCATGAAAGAAGTTATCGAAATTAGTACTTATGAAGGGGGAATGTGTGGATAATTAAAGATTTTTGAAACCATATTTTACCCAGTAGTAGAGGATCACGAGAAAAGAACAACTTCCGAAGAGTTCTTGCTCTTTTTAAGCTTTGATCGAGACATAGAAGTTTTCGTGATTCTGCTCTTCAGAATCCTAATGTTTAAAAAAAATGAGATTTCGAGTTTGCATCTGGGACTTTGTCTACATTCAAATATCAATTACACTAGCTTCATATATCGAACCTTGAAATTGTTGGATGCAGGTAGTATGAGACATGAATTTTTAAGTTCTTTGATGTTCAGACAGCGCAATCTATGTTTAGTTTGTATACTTCTTCACAAAATGTAATGGTGAAAAAACAGAATTTTAGAAAAAACCCACTTGCCGAATATATTTATTTGTGTTATATAATATTTTTCTTCGTTTTTTTTAAAGCAGAACTGAACTCTGAAGATTGGTAATATGTGTTGAAGTATAAAACGAACTAAAATAATCACATAACTGGCTCCAGTAGTACTATACACGAATTTATGCTATGAGATTTTTAGCATTGTCGTTTGACTTATAGGAACTTGTTCATTCTGACACATACTTGACATATATGTAAGATGTAATCCACAGAAAAGAAATATATGTGTTTTGTTTACGCTATTGAAGATACAGAAAACTCGTCAACCGGGATAACTATTGTTCCACTCAAAATAATCGTTGTGAATTTAAGAGTAGACTTTATTCTGATGTTGGTCTGCAAGAATAAGACAGTTTATTTGAGAAAATTTCTTGTGAAACAATACCAAGTTGCTCTTGTTATTGCTAGACGATTATTCCTTTGAAAAACTTTTTTCCAGACAAGAATATGAAGGGTAAATATCGTAGTGATGATCGTTTTAGATTATTACTGGTTAGCTCTGAAATCGATACTTTAATATACAAAAATGTTACAATCAATAAATATTTTGTAAAATCAATGCGTACAAAATGATATTTTATATCAATGGACATAAGTTTATTCCGTCTGTTGAGCCAACCATGCTTCAATAACACTTTTGAAAGCGAAATTCTGTGTAACACCAGTTACTACTGTTCGACAAACAGGACAGATGTTGGTTGTCTTCAAATATCCGTTGATAGCATCCATTTCGAACATGTGTCCACAAGGTATTGTTGTTGCAGGATTATCCATAATATCGAGTGTAATCGGACAAGTGAATAAATCTTTATTGAGTACAACTCGTGATGAGCTTTCAACTAGCTTTGTGGCAATTTCTCGTGCTGGCAACGATTCAAGATCGGCCATACCTAAGATTTCATCGTTGGTTGCTGCTTGCTGTGCTTTTTGGAGCAATGCAGGTAGACTTTGGAGTTGTGGAGGACTCATAACCAATCGTAGTTGTCGTGTCAATTTCTTGTGTTGTTGTTCCAGATACTCTCGAACGCCAGGTTTATCCAAATGAATGAACGGCACAATTTGAAAAGCAGTTAATTCCGTTGTGGCTTTTTGTCCACATTCAATAGCATAATCAAGTTCCGTGATACCAGCTGATGCTTGTTGGCTAGCTATGCGTGCATATTCACCAAATCCACGTAATGCTCCAGCAACAAACCGATCATCACAATGAGACACTAAATAATCAGTGATGATTGATCTGGTAATGTTGATTGTAACTTTTTCTGTTGGTAATGCAGCACCTTGACACGCAGCTTTGGCCATAGCTGTCGTCTCAGTTATTAAATCTGTTGATCCCCAAACTACACAGGGAATTGTTTTGAGTCGATCACGAATTGTATAGATGTGTGCATTGATTTGATCGGATGAGTAAGTATTACTGCCGAGTGCTTTCAATTGATCACGTAGAATATCAACATCTTTTCGACTACAAGTATTGTAGAGTTCAATGGCACCGATGGGAAAGTTGGGATATTCACGAAGAGATAAATATTGTGGTCTAACTA